AAAAAGTTTTTCAAACTGCAGAGGGTTAAATGCCATAAATTCATTCTCAAGACTATGAGAAATTAATAAAAATAAAATTAAAAAGAGGACAATGTTAACGACAGTACAAGCTGAATATAGCCACAAATATCAACCATGGAAAAAAATTTTCGGTTTGGCAGGGTTGGCATGTTTTTATAATGCAAACCTATATTGTATGTTTCGAATATAAAGAGAGACAGAAGTCCATTTTGATTATACTATTTTTTTATGAATTCTGCAATGTTTTAATGTATATAAAACGCTAAAAAAATGGAGAACAACTCCCAAAGAATTGGTATGAATGGAGAATGGTGGTATATATGACATTTATATTTAAGAAACGAGATAGAAATCGATGCGAAAACTATAGAAAAATAAGCGTAATAGCATCAATAGGAAGGTTATATACTGAGAGAAATGATAGAGCTAAAAGAGATAAAAGGAAAATCGGGGAGGATCAGGTAGGCTTCTGCAGGATTATTCCACATCTTCAACCCTATTCAAAATATACTTAGAGAAAGCCTTGACTACATACTATCGGTACGAAACGAATACTTATATACGCTAAACTTTGCAGACGATCAACTAGTGATTGCACAAGACCAAGAAGACCTTAGTTACATGATGAACAAACTATAAGAAAATATACCAAATCTGGTCTAGATATTAACCTCGAGGAAACAGAGTATCTATCTACAAGTGAAGAAGACATACATGATCTACCGATTGAAGACAACGTAACAATCAAAGGAAAGGATCAATTAAAATACTTGGGGTTTATAATCACGAAAAAAGCAACAACAGAGGAAGAAATTAAGCAAGATTAGGACAAACAAGAACAGTAATCCGACAACTTAAGTCAGTATGGTGGGATAGCCATCTAAATATGAAGACAAAAACACAGATTTTATAAAACATTAGTGCGAAGTATTATGACGTATGGAGCTGAAAATTGGATTATAAATAAGAAAAACAGCAGAAAGATAGTAGCAACAGAGATGGAGTGCCTGCAAAGATGCTGCAGCGTAACAAGAATGGATAGGAGAAGTAATGTTGAAATAAAGCAAAGAACATCAATAAAAACAGACATACAAACATAAAACAAAAAAGATTAAAGTGGTATGGACATATAAGAAGAACTAGCGACAGCAGATGGGATTCATAAAGAGAATAACCGAATGGAGCCTCATAGAAAGGACGAAAGAAGACGACCCCGAAGATCCTGGAGGAACCAAGTGGATGACTCTATGAATAAGAGAGGCCTAAACGATGGAGAATGGGACAACGGAGAGAGATGGAAAACGGTTGAGCGAGGGAAGACAGCGAATACTGTAGAATCCCTAAATAGATATATAAAACAAAAACGAGTGAATATTTGTTTCTTTCGAGATTAAAATTCTTGAATTTAATTATTACCAATTGTTTGGCAATTGTCCACCAAATGTTAATTTTAAGACCATTTCTTTACCATTTTGGACTGTACCTGAATTGTTCTGTAAAATTCCTGTTACTTGAAATTTTGCGGTGTATTTGTTTTCTTAATTTCCTCAGTAATTTGAAATAAAATTTTATTTTTAAACACAGCTAAAGCAAAATTTTATATTCCATGGTAGAAATTTGGGGCTATATTCAGCTTGTACTTTCGTTGCTCGAAAAAGATGACAGATAGAGGAACAAAAGGATTTCATGCAGACAGAATTCTGTAGAGACAGCACATTGTCTCTAAAGGAGGTTGTTGAAAAATGATTGTAACTTTAGTATTTATAAACATGTCAAAGGCATCGGATAGGGTACCACATTCTGGGTAGCAATGGAAAAACTAGGAACCAACAACAGAAATGCGATGGTAAATGTTAACACTAGAAACAAATAAACTAGATAAATTCCTATTAGTAGAATGGTCTACACTAAAGCAAGACTGCTGCATCATAACACCGACACTCTTCAAAATATATCTGAACGAGACGCTCTAAGTATAGAGAATAAAAGTGCTGAACATGGACATCCCAATCAAAGACGACAGATTGTACACTTTGCTGATGACCAAGCCATTCTAGCTGAAGACGAATGTGATAAAGACTATATGCTTAGAAAACTGGAAGGAGTACACCAAGTCGGGCTTTACAATTAATATACAAAAAATCGAGTTGGGAACTAGAAAATCAAGTGAAACTTTCAAATACTTAAAAGTCCTAATAACATCAAAAGCAGAAGTAAAACAACAATTTATAGGGACAGTCACACAAGAAAATTGTCAAAGAGATAAGGTTGCTATTAGACAAGCCATAAATAATAATGAATTAACAATGTGAACAAAACAACAATGATAGAGCAAATTGGAAGTATGTTGCTCAGAATAGAGAATGATGGAAGGAGATCTCAGGATAGAGATCGATGGAAGAAGTTGAGAGAGGCTTATGTCCAAAAATTGAAGATAGAAGGCTAAGAAGAAGATTGGAGCAAAGGTATGACCTGATTTACGAAGAACAACTGACACATACAGTTTGATTTTAGGGATGCCGTTATACACGGGAAGCAAACTTTGCTACACAAATTCTGTTCCAGTTTTGCAAAGATGTTAACTGTATATAGATATGTTTTGACAACTATCAGAAAGCATCACAAAGAACAGCTGACCGAAAAGACGTTGAGATATCTATAGAGACACTAGTTGTTACTAAGGTATCAGAAACGACACTAGAATATGGTCCCAATGTTAACACTAAAAGAACCAATATTTAAACCACTTAAGACATGCAGTTGATTTAGTACCTTTTAAGACGTACAAAGAGCTATATTGTTTAACAGCAAGGCCAAGAAGCCACTACAGTTGGATTAAATATGAATTGCAACAAAAAGTGATGGTACACCACGAAGAAAAGTTCATTCAAATAGAAAACTGCTCAAACACTTTACAATCTTTACATAATGATGTCATCCATTGGCATTGACAAGAGCTGAAGACACAAAGAACGAGTGGAAGACTAAGTGATCAACGCAAGACAAAAAGGAATAGCTGGATTAGAAACGTCACAAAAGATGCTACCAGCAAACTGAGAACAGCGATGGAAATACTTCATCCACACCGTTGAACAGAGCATAAAAATGGAATATGATAAATACAGATTGGAGATCATGAACAAATATTGGACGAACTTATGCTACTAAGGCTGAATGTACTGCGGAAAACAGGCATGAATAAATGGAATATGTGCAAAAAGCTAATTGGCTGAAGTACGAACGATGTAAGTAAACAGAAACCTTCTAGTAAAAAAAATAAACATAAAAGATCATAAATAACGTGAGTAGATCACCTAAAAATTCACGCCGATTGCAGATGGATGTCCATGATGGAAAAACAGATAAGCTAAGGGAAAGCTTCTGTTAATAGAAGATAAGGTTCTTAAAATAAAAAAATGTGATTTTTTTAAGTTTAGCCAACATCTCATTTGTTTTCATTTAGGATCAAAGTTATTGCAAAAAAAAAGAACTAGGGTTCGATTGATATATTCATTAGATCAATAGATTCACACAGATCATAAACTATACGAATAACACAATGCTAATGATAGTAATGAGCCAATAAGTCATTGGTGATATAATTTGTATGTAGCACCCGAGATCGATATACCGGAAAATTTGTCTGGAAAAAAAACCCAAAGTAACACAAATAGGGACATAATTGTTAAAAGACAATCCACCACCATGTTGAAGTTTTGGGCAACACACAAAAACTCAGTGAACAACTTTGCAAATACAAATGAAAATTTCTTTTAAGAAAAGACAAGAAAAAATGTATGAAAAGTATAGATATAGCATTAATGTCAATACTTTAAGAAAATTTTAGCAAATATCAACTTTAGCAACTAATGGTACAGATAATTGAAAAGAACTATGCAATAAAAATTGAACACGTTCTAGTGTGGATGAGGATAATAAATTTGCAATTAATTTCTGATACCTGATTTCCTAAGTGTATCCTGCTTTGTTTAAACTACGTTTTTTAGGAATATTTCGGAATTAGTAGATACAAAATCCATAATGCTGTATAAAATATTAAAAATGTGTGCGCATGAAAAGTGATAAATTTTCTTTCGCATAGGAGATATGGAAATTTTACCGCATTTATTGAATTGATTCTTGAAACTATTGTCACATATTTTCCATTCTAACAATTTATGTAAATGTGGGAAAACCAAACTTAAATCTATATAAATCATCTGATAATTATAACAATATTAAGGAAGCACATAACAAAAACTTATTTTTAAATGCATTTTTTTTTCGAATCCTGAAAAAACTAATAAATATTTTTGAAAAATTGAAACGCAAAATGAAAGATTACATTATTACCGAGGGCCCAAAGTCCTTAGAATAAATAAAAAGTTTCTTCTGAATAAGATATTTGAAATTAAAAATCACACTCAATTTTCTCTTTTTCACCTCTGTAACTTACTAAAATAGAAGTTTTCAGGGACTTTGGGCCCTCGGTAATAATGTAATCTTTCATTCTGCGTTTGAATTTTTCAAAAAATACTTATTAGTTTTCTCCGGATCGAAAAAAAAATGCATTTAAAAAGCATTGGTCCGAAATTTTGCGCCTACGCTCTTGACACAACAAATTGAAAGACATTTAAATCGTTTTCAATGGATTAATAATCGGTAAAAAGTAGGCAATCTCAGATATATTTCCAAAATTGTCTAAAGGTATTCCTTTATGTCAAAGTATAATTTGGAGAAAATAGTTTGGTTTGATTTTTGCATAAAATAGTACTTAACGATTTAAGTATCAATAAAACTATCGAAACAGATTTTTTAAAGACGAAAATGGAAATAGTTATCGAAATCAATGGAAACATTAATTGTTAATGTAAAGAGCAGTGGTTTTCAATGTAAACAATATCGCAAAAAGAGCGGATTTGTTGTTTTTTATAGTAAAATATTCAATTCATAATAAACAATTAAAAATGACAACATACCTCAAGATTTGTTAAGATATTATTGCAATCATTCTGCGGAACATTGTCTGCCACCTTAATGACCAAGTCTTCGTAAGCACCATTCTTGAGTTCGAGTCCGTCACAAGCAACAAATGCAGCAACAATAAACAACAATTTTAACTCCATTGTGTCCGAAAAATCCTTCAAAAACAGTTAAAAACTCATGTCAATCCCACATTCACAAAAAATCACTTGCTACCGGTATAGATTTCACAAAATCACTCAGTACTTATTGATTGGTAACCAAGACGACAGCAATAACAACAATCGCTCGTGTGGTTTCGTGTAGCCGGTAATACCTTCCTGTGCGTTCGGTAGATTCGACTGGACTAACGTGACTTGCGAGCGAAGATCCTCCGCGACGGCGATGGTCTTTTACTCCCACTACAAGGATGCGTTGCACTTTGATGCATTCGCTTGCAGTAAAGCACCAAGAGGTTGATTGTTGGGTGTAAGGCTGGTAGCGGTAGCCTGGAGCGGTTCTTCCCTCACCTTACCATCGACATGCTGTGTGGTTAATGGTTGCATAAGGAGTTTAGGCTCTTTCTCACGAGTGTTAGTGGATTTATTAGAAGGATTGTAGTCGATCTTCGCCGCGCTTTAAAATAATTTTACATGAGTCAAGCGCAATTGAATATTATTTACATTTTAACATATTTTTAATTACAGATTTGATTAAAAATGATTAAATATTTATTTCTTAGTAAATTGTCAATTTATTTCAAAGACGTAAATCAATTGACTCTAGCGGTTTTTCGCGAACTTATAATATTAGAATTATACAACGTTGATGATAGCACAGCATATATGGTCTTCTGCCATATGAAGAAATTACCTGCGTTTCGTATTTCAGTACATCTCGAATGTTTCTCAACTAATAAGCTTGCTTTCTGCCTACATTCTTTCTCTGAGAATCAGCTGCCAGTTTTTATATCTGCCTCCTCTCAATAGTTACAACATTAAAAAAATTCCAGGCGAGATAATTAAATACGACAGAACAAAATTTTACAAAAGCCTAGTGCTATCCTAGACCTGCATTAATGGAATAAAAACTCCAGTAGAATGGAAGACATACTTCATATAATATCATCTATAGATAAAACGACAGACGTGACAACTATAGAGAATTCTTCTTTTTTTTTTTTTTTGGCGGAGTATCTTGAGACAGGATGTTTTTCCATCCAGGACCAATCTGTGGTTCCATTTTACTTTGAATTATACGAATAGTAATTATTTAAGTACATTATAGTAATTCATATTTAGGAGTTCCAGTTTGGCTTTATGCAAGGCAGATCAACAACAGATGAAATTTACATTGTAGGTAATACAGTTGATGATAAAATACAGGAATAAAAAAACAAACGCTCATATGGCATTCATTGATCTTGAGAAGGTATATGATAAAGTTCCTCGAGAGATTTTCACAAGAACAACAAAAATGACTGGCCATTATGCTAGAAGAACTAGTCACAAAAACGGCAAATGAAGTGATCAAAATATAAAAATAGCGCTGAACTAAAGTACGAAGCCTAAACTAACTCATACTATCAACGTTAAGTTTCTAGAACATGACATATACATGAATGACTACAGAGCAAATTCAGGAGGAACTGCTATAGTAGTGACAATAGGAATCAACAACAATAAAAGTCCAGATAAGACAAGGTGACGTAAGGATCACTTCAGCATATGTAAGGCCAACAGATCTTTTAAACAACGACGACCTGGATGCGTTCATGAACATAGAAGAACCCTCAATAATAATAAGAGTCTTAAACGCCAGACTCCCTAACTGGAACGATAGAGCTACAAACAAAAACGGAAGAATATTAATAATTATCTAGTCAACAACGAAGACACCATATCAATTTGGCCCATCGAACCAATCTGCTTTCCAGGAAATGATCTACCAACCATTTGGATATAGTAGTAGTTAAAACCCTAGGACTACAAACAGACATCCGATCCTTAAACGAAGGATCAGAAGACCACAACCTTGTACTCCTAGAAATAGGCACATTGGAAGAAAATAACAAAACAACAAGAAAAAGAAATAAAACAAAGTCATCTAACTTCAAACGACTAGTGAGCATAAGAATTGGAAACGTTGCTACAATTGACAATCCGCAAGAAATAGAGGAAAAAATTCTAGAGCTTGAAAACATCATAAAACAAGCACTAAAGAATAGCACTGCCTAAGAAGAATATGAACTTAATGTGGTAAGATATGGGAAGAAACATTAATCAAAAAATAAAAGAAATGATAAGGAAAAAGAGCAGAGCCAAAAATGTAGCCAGGAAAACAAGAAATCGGGAAGCTAAAATATAGCAATCCGACTGAATCGACAAGTCAAACAGGCACTAATAGAACATAGAACATAGAAGCCAAAGGTGGGACTTAGGTAAAAGAAATAGAGGAGGGTTGCCAAAATCTGCAAGAAATATATAGGCTCCAAGGAACTTAAAGAAACGATGGACTGATTGTCCCACTACACGGAGCAATCAGAATCGTCTACTCTGTAGAAGAAAAAACCGAAGTGATGAGAAGGACTCTGGAGAGAGAGAGAGAGAGAGAGAGAGAGAGAGAGAGAGAGAGAGAGAGAGAGAGAGAGAGAGAGAGAGAGAGAGAGAGAGAGAGAGAGAGAGAGAGAGAGAGAGAGAGAGAGAGAGAGAGAGAGAGAGAGAGAGAGAGAGAGAGAGAGAGAGAAGAGAGAGAGAGAGAGAGAGAGAGAGAGAGAGAGAGAGAGAACACTGAATTATCACCAAGAAGAACATAGATGTTATAAAAAGTCGAACAGAACTAGAAAGCCCGAAGAACAAGAAAAAATAATACATTCCATATCACAGCTAAAATCACTATGCTGTGAGCTGTAATCAGCTGTGAAATATTTTCCCAAACAGTTGAAAGGAAGCTTATGTAATCTTGATATCAAAGCCAAAAAAGAACCATATATTTCTGCAAATTACAGGCCGATTAATTTACTTCCAGCAGTTAGTAAGATAGTAGAGCGTGTCATCCAAACCAGACTCCAATTAAAGACAAACATACTAGGGTTAATTCTAGAAGCACAATTCGGATTCAGAGCTCAACATTCCAGCGAACTATAAGTATTCACACTTACAGAATACATAGCAGCTGGATTCAACTAGAAGCAATATACACGAGCAGCATTCCTGGATGTAAGCAAAGCCTTCGACAGAGTGTGGTATTAAGGAGTGCTATACAAAATAAGAGATCATGGATACAGCGAGGTTATGACAAAACTCATCTTCTTGTACCTAAGCGACCAATATTCAGGGTCCATAAAGGACCAGTTCTATCTGAACACGGAATCCCGAAAGTTGAAACCACAGCAGACAGTTTTATCACCCCTCCTGTATAGCATATATACAGCAGATGTTACAAGGTCATCCAAAACACTGTAAGAAATCTACAGACGGCATTGGATTCGATAGAAGAATAGAGTATCCAATGAAAAATAGCAATAAATCCAGAAAAGACCCAAGCGGTCAAAAAGAGAAGAGATAACCTAGAAAAACTGCTATCACTGCAAGACAGACCCATCAAATGGTAAAAGAAAGCTAAATACCTAAGAATCACATTGGACCAAGGTCTAACATTCACACCACATGTTAACGCCACAGTTCAGAAAACAGCAATGGCCAGAGCCGCGATAAGAGGGAGAAGAAGGAAATTAGTTATGAAAGCAAAATTAAGACTAATAAACAGCATTATACCACCAATAATGACATATGCGTCTCTTTCATGGGGACACACAAGTCCCAGCAACATTAAGAAGATTCAAGCAGCATACCACAACTTCCTTAGAGACCCTGCAAACGTGCCCAGATACGTCGCTGAACGATTCCTATATAAAGATCTAAAACAATTAAGAATACTGGATATGATGAAGGAGAAAGCCAGAACAAAATTCGCTGAATTAGAAGACCACATAAACCCGATCCTGCGAGATACATTCAGGTATGATGTGTACCCTAGATAGAAGTACAGGAGACCCAAACAGCAAACATATAATAAAGTCTAGATAATCGTAGATCTATCAAAAGAAGACAACGCTCTCACCTTTGGCATGGGGTGTATTCACTAATGTTGATTTTATATGTTTCAGACAGACTTTCAAAAAATATATAAAAATCGGCTTCGGTCACCAAAAAAATTAATAAAACACTGACAAAAAGTTGCAAGCCACAAAAAATGCTAATAAAAACTAAACCGAAAAAACAAGCAAGAGGGGCCCACATCCTCGAGCGCCGAGTCACCGAACTGAACGTGGCCCAGAGCGGGGACACAAGATCCGAGCAATCAATACAAATCAATGACCAGAGATACCGCCAATAGTGCGCCTTACGCTGACCTGCATTGTTCAGGGTAGGATTTCGTGTGGGAGGCCTTGTATCCAGGACTCCCACAAGACAAGCACTTTGCTGATAGAAGAGACTATAGTATAGTAGTATAAGTAATTCCTGATTACACGAGTTAATCCACCTCGTTCCAAGAATTGTATCACCCTAGTGTCGCATTATAATATAAAGAGAATGATCAAAAATGACTAACTAAATAAAAAATAAATAAAAAAATCAAAAGGAAGAAGTATAGAACGCCGCCTAAAGAGTTACAACGTTGTTTGAATAAAATGAAGAAGAAAAGCATTAGTTAAACTGTTACTGTTCTATATAAAGGGTAATTAGAAAAACAAACATATAGCTAACGTAAATAAAATTTTTATCTCGTGAGAACATACTAATTGTGGGAACGGTCAGTTCGTCGTATTCGATAACACAACAGAGATAATATAACCCTCGATAGATGTTTAGCTTTGTGTGCATTGTGATAATGCATACGATTATTTAAAAAAATTAATAACGTTAGATTTGTTATTTACTTATGCCAGTTATACTTAATAATCAGATTTGTATCACAATAAAATACCTTGGAAAGGGTGCCAAATTTATACAATGAAAAAAATAACTAGCTGATATAAATTCAGTTTAGTATTCAACATGCTATTTACCTATTTCCGACAGGCGTTACAATACAGATGTTACAATAAACAGAAATAAACTTTTTAAAGCACTAGAATATTTAGAATCTCCACGAAACATAATAAGATTAAAATAAAATGAATGACGGTTGCGTTTCGATTTAATTTGAGTCTCTTACCACTCCCTGACACGTGTTTCTGGGTCTACCCGTCATCAGAAGGAGTTTGTAAGAAGACTCAAACCAATCAAAACGCGCCGACTACTAAGGCAATTATAGTAAAAATAATTACCAGAGTATGCTACTAGAGGCCTCTAGTGAGGAAATATGAAGTTAAATATCGATAGCAATTAAAGTAAACTGTATAACCCAAGCTTAATCAAGCCATTCAGAGC